CATCACATTATGTTGCCTTTCGCGCGGGAAAACGGGAGATGGAGCCGTGGCGTTGCCACAAGTGTTAAACTCACGTGCTCCAGCGAACGAAGATCCCACGAAGTCCCGAAATCAAATCGCTCGACATTCGGCCAAAGCGATTTGATGTTAGACAAGCATCCATGATGGTACATGTAGGAGATTTTTACACCACGTATCTATGCACGATAAAAAAATATATATCTATGCGGGCTTTGACGAGGAAAACAAAAGGAGAATGACTCCGTCGACGCGACTGCGCATTGCCGGCGATATTCGTTTCAGCAATTCTTTAGTTCGTTCAAAGGCACAACTTCTCCTCCGGCTTAGCAACTAAAAGTTAAACTTATGACATATGAAGGCGGAGAGATAAAACTGAGTGAAGTCTTTGAAGCAAAAGTGTCAGGGAGTTTGGCTACTACCCTCCCCCTAATTGGATGGGATACTAGTCCATTGCAGGGGTACTTCCAGCATTCTGTAAGGTTGCCGCGATAATTAAGTCTGTATTAGGCCAGTTGCCCCTACAGCCGGAACTCATTCAGTGGCATAAAGCGACTAGGAGTATTTCTACTCCATTCTGGATGCGATGCTAGCCCACCCGCGGGCTACCCCCAGCATTAAAATTAATTCGTCCGTACTCATTTATACACCTGGGTGGAGAGAGTGATTGTGAGAGTTAAGTGTCCTGCCCTAGAACACACATGCATCACAACCAGCGGAATAAATGTCATAACGAAGTCGCAGTTATGGTATGATAGTCAGAGTACAGGTTGCTATTCATTGATGAAACAAAGAACTGATCTACTTTGTATCCGAAGGGGGAACGCCATTGATCACGAAACAAGGAGACGGACACTTTCTTAAGTCAAATTTGATTCGAATATGGAAACCATAAATAAGTTGCGAACTCTGACTCCCAACGGGTTTTCCAAAAGACTATTTTAAGACACAAGGTACTTGAAAATAACTTTTAATACTTGACAAAAAATTATATCTACAATGTAGAATGCCATGATCCGTGCAAAATGTGTTCAATCATAAGCTAGCAATGGGTGATCAAACACTCCCTAAACGCTTGCCTCCTATCCTCGGAAATCGACGGACGTTTCCGACTTGACCATCCGTTCCGCAGATGTCGTAACACCGAAGATCATGGTCCTTTGTTGATTAATCCATCATTCAAGAGTCGTTATATCCCTGGGTTTCTGAGAGTACTAAGAAGGTACAAAGTACTAAGGAGACCTCTCAATGTATAATTACCAAATCCACAAAAACTATTTTTTACTTAAGGGCGTTCGCGCGAAAATTTTCCAGTTTTACTGCATTCAGATAATGAGTTACTTGTGTCAGAAATGCCAAAAAAATTGGGAGTCACTGACTTCGTTTCAGAGATAAAGCGTGTGTAAAACTCCCCTGATTTGGAAAAAGTGGCGCACGTAATTAGCCATGGTCTACAGGGGTTTATAGTTAAAAATATCGAAGGTGAGTAAACGGTAGCCTGCGAGCAGGCTCACCTTTGAGTCACACGCGCGAGCGGCGAAGAGCAAAGCGATCGGAAGGGAAGGGTCTGGTGAAGAGGCGCCTTCACCCAGCGATGCATATACAGTGATACATCATTGGTGCATACCTATTGTGTCGCAAGAGCAAAACCTGAATTGCCAGGAAGGCTAGGAAGAGATGACAAAGCTTGGTCAACCGCCCTTTCTACGGCTCTAGAGACCGCAGAAGCGATTGACCTCGATAGCTGGTCTGGTTGTTTCGCCATCTTTGCGATTACTCCCGCACTAGGAACCCACGTGCCAAGTCACATTGACGCGCTGCGGTTACTTATTACTTATTAAATTAAATCATGGTTTTACTGATATCAAATAAAGATTTATTATTTGAAATAAGGCTTTTCGTGGTTTCAAATAAGCGATTGAATTAACCATCATCCGCTGGACATCATATAGTCAATGACTGTGCTATGATTTCAAATCATTAAGTCGTGATTTGAAATAAGAACTGCAAGATTTGAAATCAGAATCTATTATATCAAATCATAAACGTATGATTTGAAATAACAATTTATTATATCAAATCATAAACGCATGATTTGAAATCAGGATTTATTATATCAAATCAATAACGTTTGATATCATATCACAAAACTTTATTTAGTAAATAACGAAAAAAATGACAAAATTAAGCTAAATCATTTTTTTACAAACGGCGCCCCGTATCGGTGTGACATTATTCTTGCAATACAACTGTATTGTTCCTGTAACTGATTTGCGTTAGCCTCTTTTAGGCTCGTCACGCCATCTTCTGTATATCGTGTTAAATATATCGCAGAGTTGTTTATGTCGAGACGTTGTTTAGACTAACTCGAGATCCAACTCGAGGTCCAGCGCGAACTTAACTCGAACTTGAACACAAAGTCCAATTCGGGCTCGGTTTCGTAGGAGACCTGACCTGCAACCCGGGGTGACTCCCGTATAAAAAAGAAGGGAGTGCTCGTCGGAAATTTTGAAAGGAACCCGTAAGAGGTACCCAGGTCCTGTTTTGTAGGTGTGGCTTAAAATTTTTTTTTCCCCCTTAGAGGTACTAATTCTTACATAACACATAATCTCCAGTCATATTTTTTCGGCTCAATACCATGAAAGGTAATACAAAAGCTCCCGCTGTGAGCCTGTTGAGGCACCTTAAGAGGTACCAAAATTGGGTTTTTAACCCCGTTTTTAACCCCACTCGACGGGCATTTGAGAACACGAGGGAAATGTAGAAAACACAAGCCGCCGAGTGTTTTCTACATTTCTCGAGTGTTCTCAAATGTCCGGAGTTTCTGCAGTTATCGTAAAAAGACTATTATTTAACAAATAAAGAAGCCTAAGCAGTGTGTTGCACTGTGATAAAACAGGACGGGCATTTGAGAAGACGAGGAAAATGTAGAAAACACTCGCCTGCGGCCCGTGTTTTCTACATTTCTCGAGTGTTCTCAAATGCCGGAAGTGCTTTATCACAGCGTAATACACGGCTTAGGCTTCTTTATTTGCTTTATGATATATGTAGAGGGAATGAAGACACAATGCAATAAAGCACGCTTTTTCTATGTTTTAAACTCTGATAAAACATGGGTTGTTCAGAGCCCGATTAAGCTCACCCAGGAAAAGATAGAATTTTAATTTAAGTTTTCTAACTTTCCTTCTCTCTAACGAGCAATACCGCTAGCCATGATAACCATGAGAAAATCAACTCATGGGTTTCCTTTCCTTTCCTTTCCTTTCGGAGCTCCGCTATTTATAATTACACATAAAACTTGCATGACATGAAATTGTACTTTACATGTAAAGTACAGTACGTGGACGACGTGTTTACACAAATTCAGTCAATTCAGGACAATTTTTTCCCACAAACTCTGCCTGACGCACACATTTTCCACTGGAAATCTGGAAACAAAAAAAAATTGTTTTTCTTTGCCACACACTTCACGTGGCTGTCACGCCTGTGTCACGCGAGGTGTCTGCCACATGGCACACGCATGCAAATGAGGTAGCATATGTCCGCGCATTCTTTTCGACTTGCCAGCGATGCATTGAGCAGGACACCGCAACAAATCTCTGGCTTTGTCAGCGATTTTTCACATTCCGTCCTTCCATACGCGTAAAACGTCCTCTTCTCTGTTAACCCTCGTTGATTAAGCAAGATGTCGGCGAAGGCAATCTACGAAACCGATGGAAAGTCGCTACTTGCAAAGTGTTTTCAAAACACTTGCTACATAAAAAATAAATTTGCTGTAGTTGTACATGACACAAACTGGGACGCAATTGTACAGGAAAATCCATGGATTGCAAGCGAGGTAAGCTACTTTTGTACATAATTTAATGGCTTTAAATTTCATCTTGTGGGCAAAAATTTTCTTTTAATTGAAGTCTGGACTTTCTAGCTGTACACGTTACTTGTTTTGTCCCGACAAATCAAGTATCATAATAAAACGTACGCTTTTTAGCGAATTTGAGCTTATTTGAGAATCGTGGAAAATTTATGTCGACTATGCAAGTTCATATATATCTTTTCCTGATCCGATGGTTGTGTAGTAAATTGTACAAATCTTCCGATCCGATCCTTGTAATTTTGAGAGGACATGTTTTTGATTGACAAGCTTATGAAATGAACATGGTGGCATGACAGAAATGTAAAGGTCATTCAAGGTTACAAAAGCTGATTACGATGTGAACAGGACTAGAGTGAGCCTGCATGGCGAGCATTATATCTGCTATATTCTTTCCATAAAGAAAAACTATATAGCCTTTCTGAAATACTTTTCAGAAAGTGAAACGTACATTTTAATGTACACTACAACTGAAATGTAAGTTGATCATGCTCACCCTAATATTCCACTCACCCACAGGTCCGTCTAGACCAAACAAATTTATTGCATAATTTTTATCACCACTACTTGTTATATTGTCCTTCCAAGGGAGATCCACCATTTTTGTGACCTAGGTGCTGTGATATGCAGCATTTCTATTGAAGATTTTGACATCAGGATAATTCATGTTTTGGACACTATCAGATTTTTCATCAGGTTTCAATTGAGACATCCATCGTCTGGAATTGTACAGACATAATGTACTGATGTTTCTTGGACAATGTTTAGCAATCATCTGGGAGCTGGTAGGGGGGGTGGGGTGGTACGTAGTAACCCAAATAACTTGGATGCTGTTAAATTTCTGACGACCTATTTGTCTGAATATAAGCCTGTTCAAAAATTTTACACCATTCAAAATTTTTGACTATGTTTGAAAACTTTATAAGACCTTATATCTCTCATTTAAGTTAAGAGTTTGGAACTGTGGATGAAATGTGCTCAGTGACCAAAGTAGCACAGGCCTTTGTGTTGGTCACTGACATGTACAAACAATTGACATGACATATCAATTATTGATATGTCTTATGTCTTATATATTATATTGATTGATATGTCAATCAGTGGTATACATGTTTTTCATGTAAATTTGTGTTTTTCAGACCACGTCACAAGACCTTTCAAGCAAATATATTTAGCAAACACGATCAAATGCAGTCCATTGGGTTGTGTTCGGTTGTCGAATAATCAGACACAATCTAATGGATAGCGTTTGATTGTGTTCATTTTTTGTCTATTGAGTTTTATTGGTTCAGAAATTAAACTCGCACAAACTTTGTTGCTCAATTTTGTTGGATTGCCAAACTCAATCAAACTATTGGGTTATAATAATAATAATAATAATAATAATAATAATAATAATAATAATAATAATAATAACAATCTTTAAAGAGGAAGTGCCAGTCACGTAAATACGTGGTTTTTAGGGAGGTCCTCTGTAAAAATAAAAAGTATTAAAATCTAAAATAAGAAATACAAATATCACAGATCTAAAATATAAAATATACAATAATTAAAACTACTAAAACTACCAAAACTACCTACTGGGTTCAATTGAGTTTGATTTCTGAACATTCAATTATTGACTACGCCATGTACACTTTAGTGAAGTACTTTACTAGCTGTAATACATTTTTAAAGATATAGCTAACACAAGCTAGTAGCTAATTGATAAAGAAAAAAGACAGTGAAAAAATCTCTTGAGTTGACTGGAATCAACGAAACCATTTATGTGGAATTTGAGAAGTGTAATCACTTAATTTTCTTTATTATCAATTTTCAGAAACTTGTTGTGAAGCCAGATCAGCTTATAAAGCGACGAGGCAAGCTTGGCTTGATTAAAGTTAACGTCAATTTACAAGAAGCTAAAAAATGGATTGATGAGAGAATGGGCAAAGATATTCAGGTCAGTCTTTGTTATACAGTACAAATCCTTGGAAAATCTCCTGTTGCTGATTGTGATATTTTTCCTTGTGATCACCTCCACTTTATACAAGTATCCCCGCTGGCAATATATGACAAACCGTTGGAAAATCTCCTGTTACTAATAGAGACATTTTTCATTGTGGTCCTCTCCACTTTACGAATACATGCATCTCCCTAAGGAGTGACCAAGATCAAATTTCTGCCTAAAAATCAAACCTTGTCATGTAGGCAAGTGATAGTAATAAAGAAGATCATAAAAAAACATAGACTGTGATGTCTCGATGTGCAACTAAATTGCTACAACTAATGCTGGAAGAAATATTGAAACAAAAAGTTAAAAAAACAAGATTTTTTTAAATGGAATCCCAAGTTTTTGAGCAGCCAAGGGGAATATAAATTGGTTTGAAAAATCGAAGGTAAAATTAAAATTTTTGCAGGCTTTTTTTTTTACCTAGGAGGCAAAAAATATTATTTCAAATAGTTAAGAGGCTCAGAAACATTCAGGGTTTGAATGAATTGAGATTCCAGTATGCTTATCAGTCAACAGTTTGATTACTTTTAAAGCCTGAGATGTTAATCCTTGTCAGCTGCCACTAATGCAAAACTGTCTTTGTAAGATTGCCTTAATCAGATTAGCTTGTATGTAATGTTATTTTGATTGACAGGTTGGGGCTGCAAGCGGACCACTAAAAAGATTCATCATTGAGCCATTTGTTCCACACAAACAGGTACACTATAGACAGATTTGTAGATCAGTATTGAGAAGGGATTTGAATGGTTATGAAGAAGCATTTTGGTTACAAGATCTCACACTATCGATGTTGTAAAACCAGTTTATATTATTTTGATGGGATGTATAGAAGATATTTTCCTCACTACTTTATTAGAAACTATCTTACACAATCTGACATGCTTTATTCCAGAAGAAAGGTGTACAGGGTTTTCATTCAACACACTTCTGTGTATTACCAAACCTAATTTATTCTTGAATGGTGAATGGTAACTCAATTTATACCCAATGCATGTGCTAATTAAAGCTGTCACAGAATGACAGAGACAATAAATCGGTCCAAGGGAGGTGGGTTATGTGTAAATATAAACGGGAACGTCTATGTGGCAGTAGATTGACTGTAACCTTTTGGTAGCCCACTGGCTGACAGTTGACCGACAGTCAGTTTTGAGAGCTCTTCTTCACAAATACCCCTTAAACTGCTGTCACAAAAAAGGACAAAGTCTAAGTATTAAATATTTAATTACTAATATTGATAATGTTATTAAATGTTTAAGTGAAATACACTGTAATCACCAAAGGAACTTTAACCCTTTATTAGGGAATGCAGTCTCTTAATGTGTGAAGATAATCTTTTGGCTAATGTTCTCCCATTTTCCTTCTTAGAGCTTAATATGTTAGTTCTCTGCCAGTTGGCACATCATCATGAAGAACAGACTTGTACGATGTCGTCATTTGACTACAACTCACAGAATTAATTGTGATTTTTCCTTAAGTTTATTATTTCAATTTTAAGTGGCAGTGGTGTTTTTACTAACTGCTGACCTAATGAATCGATCACATATTGAAAACTTGAAGTGTTTGGGAGCTGTAGAAGTCAAATGACCACATTGTGCTGATTGCCTTTCGAACTTTGGGGTATTCTGTACTAATCAACTGTCATTATAACATGATAACAATGAATCCCTTTTTGTCTTCTTTTAGAATGAAGAATTTTATGTGTGCATCTACGCTCAGCGTGACTGTGACACAATCTTATTTCATCATGAGGGTGGGGTTGAAATTGGCGATGTGGACAGCAAGGTAAAGTATTTTAATATGTTTTGTACTGTACAAGCAATGCCATTCTGTATATAAATCAAGTTTAAATAATTAAGATATGTTTGGCATCTTTATGTAATATATCAAACACAAAATACTGTGTTTGACCATATTTCCAAACACCGAGAAGAGAGTTGAAAATATAATGTTCATGTAACTGAATATTTTTGACGAACTTCAAGCTAAAAACTAAGGAGAAAAAGAGAGATAAAGTATTAGAAATCCAATCCTAATTAAGATCAGAAATCCATACACCTCCACGGTCATGATTTCCTTTGTCTAAACTTGTTCAATTACGAAATGAGTTTGAGAAGTTGGTTTCAAAAACTTTGATCAATGGTGCAAAAACTGCATACATGTATATTTACTTTCCAAGACGGTTCTTTGGCTTAAAGCTCTTTTGAATTATGCACTTCCCAATTTTCGTGTTTTTTTTTTCCTTTTTTTTTGAAAAAAAGTTTTGCTTTGATGTGATTAATTTGGGTTTAGGCATGAATTTTTGGAAAACCTATATTAAATCATAAAAACCAGACAAACATACCAGTAAGTGTCTAAACTTTTTAATGTTGCCATGTTTCACTGTCAGGTGATTATTAGTCAAGGTACAATAATAATATTATTCACCGTAGTTACCATAGTAAGAGCAACATTGTACATTAAAGTGCTATCAACTTATACATGCAAAACTTATACGTTGCATAATTTTTTTAAAATTAATGAATGTCAATATTTGTTTTTTTTTTTTTTTTGTAGGCTGTTAAACTTGAGGTTGGCCTTCAAGACAAAGTCACAGTTGAATTGGTTGAGAAAAAGCTCATGCTAAATGTTCCACAACAAAAGAAAAAGTATGGGAAAGTTCTTGACAATAACAGCACTCTAACTAATTGTTATGTCATGGAGGGCATTTGCTTTTTTCGGCTCTTGTTTCATGCACCGGCACGTGAAACAAGAGCCGAAAAAACTGGATGCTCTTGCAGGCTATAAATTAGCTGCTTATTCGAAATTGTATTGCTATTATTATGAGAAGGTTTTATGTAAGATTTATCCCAATCAGGTGTTAACTGTCTGCTATAAGTAGCACATCCAATATCTAATTTAGGTAGTCTTTGTTATTTCTTTCCATTTGATCATGATGGTGATGCAATTTTTTTGTTCACAGATTACTTGCTACCTTTATCCATGACTTGTTTCAACTTTACACCAACCTGTACTTTACTTACCTTGAAATAAATCCTCTAGGTATGTTAAGTATGTTTTTTTAAAAAATAATTAATTAATATTTTAAAAAAAACATTTAGCTATAAAAAACTTCTAAATGCTTTACATCAAGAAACTCAAGCCCACTTTGAATACCCAGATGGACTCAATACATGCGAAACTTTTTGTTTTTAAACTAGTAGCATTTTCTTTGTTACTACTTCTATACTAGTCTAGCAACCATTGTTCTCATAAGTATTTTAAGATTTGTAATTTCTTATCTTTTTGACTTGATAATGATGTTGTGAAAACGTTGAAATGTTGTCTAGCTTTTGAGCTTTTTTACCTTTTTATAATGTTTCTAAAAAATATCCTATCTTAGATCTATTTTTATAGCTAATTAATATTTCTACAGAAAAAAATGTGCCTTCCAGCTGTCTCAAAGCTGTGCTTCAGCATTGTGAGAATCCAGCCAAACATTTTTGTAGATGTGAATAAGTGTTTCTAGCAGAAATAGGAAACTAGTACCTTGCATGTGTCTGAAAGTTTGGAAGAAGTTGAAAGTGATACACACTTGCTACTAGATATGATTGTGTTCTAACCCCCTGGGATCACTAAGGCACTAGGTCATTCAAGTCAAGTTCTAGTTTGTGACATCAATGTTCTTTTTCAGTGGTTGTTGGTGGGTCAGTACATGTTCTTGATCTTGCCGCCAAGTTGGACCAGACTGCAGAGTTCATGTGTAAAACAAAATGGGGAGATATCGACTTTCCTCCTCCATTTGGAAGAGAGGCATATCCTGAGGTAAGAACAGCGGAATTGTCCCCAGTCTCCTCCCTCAAAAGATAAATCTGGAGCACTTGGGTGCAAAGAAAACCAATTTCAAGCTGCCTGTTAAGAAACCGTAACCTATGATGTATCAGAAGCCAGAATGTTTTTGCCGTGCACTTATAGTAGTTCCTAAACTTTCTTGCTTGCATGATTAATCAATGAAAAATGAAATCAGTGCTAAACATAATTTAATATCTTACGGCTAAGTATTTCAATCTGTAATTTAAATTTCCTCAAAAAACCCTCCCCAAAAAAATTTTCACTTGCCTTTCAGGCATATAGCCATGCAAGGACAGATTCCACTTGTCCAATTATCGGAAAGTCCACTAGTCCTGGACTATTGGTCTCAAGACATTAAAGTTTTGCATGCTGTGTGGAACAAGACAAATTGGCAAAAAGGAAGTCAATTATCCTCTACAATATATTCTAGATGTTTTATTTCAGACATGTACATGTACGTTATACAGGAAAATTGCTTTGGCCCAGCTTTCACTTCCATCACAGCCATGATTTTTTTTTTTAAGACTGCAACTCACCACTTGAGAGGAATGTACCTTGTTATTTAAGTATTGAAGTATAACAACTCAACCTACCTTATCAAAAAGTATGAGAAGTCATTTATGTCAATAAAACTGGCAAAAAGTTTATTTGATGTTCCTCTTTGATTTGGTTATAATCAGGAGGCATACATTGCTGAACTAGATGCTAAGAGTGGAGCTTCTCTTAAACTGACAATCCTGAACAGCAAAGGTCGGATATGGACCATGGTTGCTGGAGGAGGTGCATCTGTTGTGTACAGGTGGGTTTAGGTTTGGATGGAGCTGACAAAAAATGGCAGTGATCTAATCATCCATGCACTGGACTTGAGAGCAGCAGTGCTTGCTTACGAAAACAGGATCAAGCTGCTCGTAATCTAGGAGAGAGTGCCAGCTTCATAGTCAGTTCTAGACTGCTAGCATTCTCTGGAAATCCATGGGGAGGAAACAACTGAGGGTGCAAACATGACTTTGAGCGTGACGTGTGAGGAGGGAGCAGTGATGCAGTGAGCCAAGAGTAGCATGGGCACCAGAAGATGTGATGCTTGCGCTACTTGCAACTTGTGGCATCACATATCACGCTTGCATGCTCATGACTGCTCACTTGTTTTGTGTTCTTCTTTGTGTTTTCAAGCAAAAGAAGTTTAATTCAGATCATCAAGGATAAATTAATTTCTCTCAGTTTTTTCAGCCCCTCTATTTGTCACTGAAATAGTAACAATACTCATTTTTACTTCAACTTAGTGACACTGTGTGTGACCTGGGTGGTGCTTCTGAACTAGCAAATTATGGCGAGTATTCCGGTGCTCCATCAGAATCGCAGACGTATGAGTATGCCAAGACAATACTCAAACTTATGACTGAGGGTCCACCAAGACCTGATGGTAAGCCAGCTGTCAGTCTGTTTCTTTCTTTAGTATAACTAAGTAAATAGAACTCCTACAGTTGGTACCAAACAATTGCTTTCGTGAAGTACGTTTGCAACTTAAATGTACACTCAGCTATGTTCTATTTGTCTGTCAATAAAGTTTAGAATTTCTAAAGTTGTGTGGCATTGACATGTCTCATGGGAAATAGCTCACCACAAGTCAGTAAGATAAAGTCTCGCAGTAGTGCGACGACTGAAATCCCACTGTAGTATAGTTGTTAAAACTATTTTCTTTCACAGGAAAAATTCTCATCGTTGGTGGGGGTATTGCAAACTTCACCAATGTGTCAGCAACATTCAAGGTATGCATAAAACCTGTACAGTCTTTTAGGGAGACATGGTGATGTAATGGTTAGAGTACTGGACACTGGATGGTGTCATCCGTGTTCAAGCTCTGGCTGTGTTCACTGTGTTTTGTTCTTGGGGGACATACTTTCTGTCTCTTTCCACCTAAGTGCACAGCACATTGAATAAATGGGAACTGGGAACTTAAACCCCACGTTGAACAAACATACCACCTAGTCGGGGGATGGGTGTAGAAACATTTCTTGTCGCTTAATGCTACAGAAATTTTAATTCAAGGTTCCAGAGTCAGAGAATTTTTGGTGAAGTCCCAATAGTTTCACTGTAATGATTGATTGTCCGTGGGCATCTCATGGCAACTGGTATAGTAAATGCCTTATTACTAGTTATTATGTATTTCAGTTTCCTTCTCTTCATTTCCTCTGTCCGTCATTTTACAGGGCATAGTGAAAGCCCTTCAGGAATATCAGAAGAAGCTCTTGGAACACAAAGTACAGATATATGTACGGAGAGGAGGACCAAACTACCAAGAAGGTCTCCGAGTCATGAGGGAAGTAGGTATGAAGGGCAACTGATTGACTTGTGGTTTAAAGTATGTGTACATGAGTAACCTGACATGCTCTGTTGCTAAGTCAAGGTCATAACCACAATCATAATTGCATGAAATTTACAACATTGCTTCTTTCCACCCAGGGATTAGGGCAACCTGGCACAATGCCAGGTAGCAACTTGCAATGGATTGGCATTTCAAAACTCAAACCCGCAACAGGGCCATGGCCCTGAAGCAGTATCAGGGAAAAAAAACCTTTTTAATTAATGCATGGCCCCTTACAAAAACTTCAAATCAAAGAGTAAATTTGCCTGTTACTAGCAAAAGCCCTGCAGAGTTTCACAGTGAGACTGATATGTTTATCAAGCTCTTCCACTATTTATAGTTTGTGTCTATGGCCATAATGTAGAAGACAAGCTGGCCTAAGGGTTAGCACACAGGTAAAAGATAAAGGAAAAGTCTGCATACGAGCCAAGTGGCCCACCAGGCTGGAGCCTATCCTGGTTTCTGTAGCATGAAGTGACTAGGTGTATTTCTACCCCCCCTGGATGGGATGCTAGTCCATTTATTAATTAGTAATTAAGCTAATTTTACAGTTCAAATAAACCTTGTTGTTGTTGTCGTTGTTACCCCCAACATTAAGTTCGCCAGTACCCATTTACACAACTGGGTGGAGAGAGGCACTGTGAGAGTAAAGTGTCTTGTCCAAGAATACAACATAATGTCCCCGGCCAGGGCTCGGACCGCTTGATTCGGAAACGAGCCCACTAACCATGAGGCCACCGTGCCTACCAGGACTCTGGACACAGGGCTCTGGATCAACCAGTCTGGTTTTTCGACATGGCCAGGGTCACTGTGTTGTTCTTGGGCAAGACACTTAACTCTCACAGTACCTCTCCCCACGCAATACTCCTAGTTGCTCAATGTATGGATACTGCAATAAGTTCTGGTGGTATGGACCTCTTGATCCGACACGTACTTTTTATGCCCCTATCAATGATAGCCATGACATAACTTTGACTCATGGGAGGTGTGGACCGCAAGCATTTCCTGTTTACTTTACACGTGACTGTCTTTACAGGTGACAGTTTAGGACTCCCTATGCACGTGTTTGGAACAGAGACTCACATGACAGCTATTGTCGGCATGGCTCTGGGAAAGAGAGAGATTCCCAAAGAAGTTGGCTTCGACTCAAATGCAGCAGCAAACATGTTCTTTACAGCTCAGAACAAAGTACGAACTTGCACTCTTTGTTGTACCTTTCTTGTTTGTTTGTTTTTTTTTTTGATTAATTTCCTCATGATTAACTTTTGCCACTACTGTAGGTTTGCTGTCCACGGAAACTTCTCGATCTATCAAAAATTCAACAACTGCACAAGCATTTTTTTCAGCTTGTGGTTCAGTTGGTTTCCTAAAAGACCCTGTTTTACTTAACACTCTTTTACATTTATTTTTCTTGTGCAGGGTTCTGCAAGTGTAGGTAGTAAACACACAGTGTACATGTCAGATGGCGCTGAGAAAACACCCGATGAAAAACCCTCACCAGAAGAAAGCCGCAAGGCTGCAGCAGGGAAGAAAGCGGCTTTATTCACCTGCGAGACCAGAACGATTATCTGGGGTCTGCAAGCCAGAGCTGTTCAGGTATGCGTGAAAATACGTATATTAGCAATGTCTGTATCTGCTTGAATGCGTGTTATGAAAATTATTAAGCTTGGGCCTTTTAGAACGTAAACCCGTGCAGTTCTGTCATGGTTAGTAAGTTTTATTTTAGTGTTTAATTTTTAGTTTGAGAGCTTGACAGTAAGGCTTACATAGCTAGAGTTGTTAGGAAAACCTCACAAAGCTTATGAAGTAATCGTTACGTGGTCGGAAACTACTTCATCTTTGTTACTCACTTCGGGTCATTTTCGGAAGTGTTACTGGTCAAACTTTAACTTCGGATAATGTCGGGTAATTTTCGGAAATACACGATGGTGTCTCGATGCTGTTAGGATATTCTTTTAACGAACCTAACACCACTTCATTTAATTGCAGGGCATGTTAGATTTTGATTATGTTTGTGAGAGAAAGAGACCATCAGTAGCCGCTATGGTCTACCCCTTCAGGTGAGAAAATTTGTTGTGTTTTACTTGCGTGCCAATAAAATATGATTTTTATCCATATTTCCGAGAGCGGCCTCTCAAAAACCGAAAGTAACCGCTTAGGCAAATACACTGCGATACCAAAGAGGCTTCAGAGGCAAAATTTTGCAATAAAGCAATAAAAGCTTTGAACCAAAAAGTTGTGCCACCAGCAAAGTGCGGGAAATCAGGTTTTTTTTTTTTTTTTGCAATTAACGCGGGAAAATGTATGCCTGTTCGCTTGCGGGAAATTTTGCGCGGAAAAAGTGTATGGGAAAGCGCGTATGCAGGATACACGTGTTAAACATGTGGAAAACATGCGGGAAATCGTGTAACCACGTGTCAAGGGCGGGAAATATATAGTTAATGGTAAGCCAGTTCATCACGATTGGTTTGGGATATTAACCTGATTTGCTGAGTAAATATATATAAACTATGGTTAGAGCTCGAGTGTAAACGGTTCGTTTTTTACCCGCCCATGCAAGACAAATAGAAAGCATTTGAATTGCTTGTAGAGAACGTTTACGAGTACCTTAATTCAGGAGGAATTTTAAAAAACTTTCTTGCTGGTTGTGTTGCAGTGGAAATCACCGTCAAAAATTTTACTATGGACACAAAGAAATCATGATTCCAGGTTTGTTGGAATTTGAATCAAACTGACCCAAAACTACAGTCATTTGCTAAGGAATCTAAGCCCCCCTTTATGTTGTTTCGCAAGTATTGAACGCTCTGACGGTTTCTTTTTGCAGTGTACAAAGACATGTCCGAAGCCATGAACAAACATCCAGATGCCGATGTTATGATCAACTTTGCCTCGCTGCGCTCGGCTTATGATGCAACTCTTGAAGCCATGCAGTTTCCACAAGTACGCCTTACCAGCAGTTAATTTCAGTGTTGTTTAAAAAAAAAAAAGATTTTTAGAGATTTTTTAAGTCTGTTGTTGCCATTTGCAGATTCGCACGATCGCCATCATTGCTGAAGGAATTCCTGAAGCAAAGACCAGGCAACTGAACCGAAAAGCTAAAGAATTGGGAATAACTATTATTGGCCCAGCAACGGTAAGTACACATGAAACACATGTCTATTTCTTTCCTAAACCTTCGCAAAACTTATTTGTAGAGCGGTTGGCGCCAAAAACATATCTTAATAACATAACACGTGGAGAAAATGTGTTGCTACACGTGTTGTCTGTGAGTGTTCTGATATTTGTGTCATAATTCACGTATTTGTCGATTGCAGGTTGGAGGTATCAAGCCTGGCTGTTTTAAAATCGGTAATACTGGCGGCATGTTGGACAACATTTTGGCATCAAAACTTTATCGACCAGGAAGGTGAGCAAATGTTAAGACAAGACGAAATAGCGATGTACATGAAATCGTCTGAGGGCTAGAAACCTGCATATCGATCGAGCGTGGACAACATAAAAACTGAACGGATGGTCGATTCAAACCCATGACCTCCATTTCATGTGAAGATCTCGTGAAACTAGTTTTGGAATGTGAAAGGTTTTAAAGCCGCGGTCAAACGGACTCGCAAGTAGACGCAAGTTGAAACCTCGGAGCTACTTGCGACTCCGTTTGACCAGGACTTGCGTGCACTTGCGTTGACTTGCGATGACTGGCGCGCACTTTGGTCGAAATCAAATTTGCACGCAAGTCGGCGCAAGTTTTTTTCCGTTTGGCTACCCAACCCAAGTCAACGCGAGCTGAGTGACGCCTATTCGTTGTTATAGCAATCTTTCAGTCAATGAAATACAGCATATTTCTGCCTTGAAATGTGCTATGCGACATGCGTTTACTTGCGAGTCCGTTTGGCCACCCAACTTAAGTCTTCTCTACGCAAGTTCAACTTGCGACTACATGTGACTCCTTGCGAGTCCATTTTGCCAGGGTTAACGCCAAGCGTCGTTTTGAACCGCAGAAAATATTTAAGTGGAACTTGAAAATTACCACACTGTTAAACGTTAGCCTGAGGTGTTGAACTGGACCTTCCGGTTATGAAATAAAGAAATTCTTGTTTTGCTTCGCAGCGTTGCTTACGTGTCTCGATCCGGCGGCATGTCCAATGAACTCAACAACATCATCTCGCGGACCACAAATGGTGTGTACGAGGGCGTGGCCATTGGCGGTGACAGGTATCCGGGTACAACGTTCATGGATCACGTGATGAGATATCAAGAAAACCCGGATGTCAAAATGATCGTGGTTCTTGGAGAGGTACATTTTCTGTTCGCGTTAGAATGAAGAGTTGCGACCATAAAAATTCACTCGACTCAACTCTGATGTTCTTTTGATACCAGGTTGGTGGTACTGAGGAATACAAGATTTGCGAGGCCATAAAGAGTGGCGAGGTTACCAAGCCTGTCGTTGTGTGGTGTATCGGGACATGCGCAGGAATGTTCACGTCGGAGGTGGGTAGACTGGGTTCTATTCCTGCGTTAACTCGTACCCAGTCGTCTTGTGTTATTTTCTGATGAGAATTTTCAGAGGTAATGTAAAAAGAAATTTGTCGCAAATAGTCGGTGAATGTTGCCTCCTCTCTATTCTCTTCGTCCCTCAGGTGCAGTTCGGTCACGCTGGAGCGAGTGCTCATGGTGAAAACGAAACAGCAGTCGCCAAGAACAACGTAAGTTTTTTTTTAATGAATTCACAAACTAAACGTAAAATATTGCAGGAGAGTTCTTATGAAATGCTCTTTAATTTGACAAAATCCACAGGAACTTGGTAAATTGTTAGGTAACTTATCAGATTGCTTGGCAGTCTAGAGTGAGTCGTGTGTAGTAGACTAACGTGACAAAATGGTGAGCAAGCACAATGCGTTGGGCGAGCCTTCACAGCTAATGGGGTGGGGTGGGGGAATCTTGATACTTTGTGTGCTGCCTGCCCGGTAATGGGGCTTGCCCCTAGCTGGTAATTCATTGGCCAGTTTTGATATTTCAAACTCCAAGGCTTAGGGAAATAAAACAATAGATATAAATTATTCTTCCTTCAAACTCGACACGATTTCTCTTGTTCTATTCCAATGGTTAGAATTTTAATATATCGAAACTGGCCTATTGTCTGCGATTACCCAAGTTAGTTGATGGGAGCCAGGGTTCCAGTAGCCCTTTGAATGCCGGGTATTTTCCGTAGACACTAACTCACTTTACTGTAACTCACCCACAGGCTCTGAAAGAGGCAGGTGCTTATGTACCAGACAGTTTTGATTCTCTGTTTGATATGATCAAGTAAGTCACGTCTTATTTGTGTTCTCCACGCCATTGATAACAGCTGATTATAAATTCCTTTTGATGGGTTAAACAGTTGCAAACTGTGTTTACTTAGAAATGTGACTACCTCTTACAGTAAGGGCGCTCGAAACATGAACACTTGACATTTTATTAACATGCTTTTTTGGCCGTTATAGAAAAAAGGTTGTTCATACAATGTAAAAGATAAGCGTTTTACAGTGTAAAAACGCTAAATGCTCTTGTTAACAGAGTATGTGAACTGGTTAGCGTCTCTTGTGGCAGCCAGAGAAAGCGTAGCAGCTCTCGCAAGCTCGTAATTTTTTTGCCTGTTAGCAACTGTTATTGTTTTGGGCCTAGGGGCATTGTTTCTGTTGTTTGTTCTATCGTTCTCTCAAAGGGTATCGAGCCATTCATGTGGAACCTTACGAGAGCTGCTACCTGACCCTGAAAACACGCTGTAACTTTCCTATTTACTTTATTTGTTTAGAGAAGTTTATGAAGTTTTAGTGAGAGATGGGACGATTGTTCCCAAACCAGAGAAGAATCCACCCACGGTTCCCATGGATTACTCTTGGGCGCAGGTGAGTAGAAAATGAAAACAGGCAGGTTTGATTAAGAATGTTAATTTTTTTGAATGAGAGAGAATGCAGAGAGAATGCAAAAGTGCTGGAAGGAGGAGAGGGTCCCTTCCATGAAAGGGTAGCAGTAGCAGTACTCCCAATGGGCTAAAGCTACTGAAGTGCAGCCTACAAGGCTACTTGACTTTGTACGCGTTTCTCACTTGGGACGACGTGCAGTTCATCCCTTCCTTGCGTGAAGAACACTTTGCATACATTAATGTTTTACATACATGTATCTAATTGATTTAACTTATTTAAATTCTGCTTGTTCTATTTTTGCAGGAGCTTGGTTTGATCCGCAAACCGTCTTCGTTCATGTCGAGTATCTGTGACGAAAGAGGAGCGGAACTCTTGTATGCTGGTATGCCCATTACGGAGGTGTTCAAGGCACGGACGTTTTAAAATTTTCTTTAATGCAGAAATCATCAAACGAGAGGCAATAGCTGTCAGACACTCTAAATGGTTTTAAAATCATCAAATGTATCTCCTGTAAGAGAGACTAGGATTGGACTTTGGTACCAACCAGAAATCACACAACCGACCAACCTACCCAAAGCTACCGAAACAACTATCTCTCGCAATCTCGTCTCCAGGACTCGCGCGTTTTCGGTCAGCGCTGACCGCACGCTTGTCGCTCCGGTTCGAAATCAAAAACCGGTACCAGAAAATCCTCTAGCTGGTTTGATTGTGCCCATGCGTTCAAGTTCTAAAACATTTCCTTAACATGCGTAGAGAGGGTAACCGCTGCAGGTAATGCTGGCTCATGCTTATCTTCCAATTTCGCCAAGTCTTGATTTTTTTATTGCTAACCATGTGTATCGCGGCCTCTGGCAACGAGATTGCCAGCTGTCGCAGGTGAAGGCATGCTAAGCCAATGTGGCTCTGTACGTCAAGACGGTAAAAAGGTGTTAGGTGCAATTTATGACAATTGTTGCCTTGACTCATATCTTGCAGGAGGACATCGGCGTTGGAGGAGTTTTGGGTCTTTTATGGTTCCAAAGAAAGTACGTTTGCTCAATTCGTATTTACGTTGTAACGTCATCTATTTACTTTTACTTACCCAACATGAAGAAATATAGGGCAAAGGCGCTCTGACTCGATTATCGTTTGTCTCGTCACCAGATTACCCCCCTACGCAAGTGAATTTATTGAGATGTGCCTCATGATAACTGCTGATCACGGACCAGGTTAGTGTCACGCAGTAGACGTAATTCTTATAGCACACTACGAGTGTCATGCAACGAAGGACAACTCTCAAATTACCGTGTATAGTCGCGTTTTTTCTCGAAGTGATTATGACCTAGCTTATGATTTTGTTTTCCTGATAATTACCGGATTTGTTCTGAGAAAGAGGTAAGGAAATTATTTTCGCTTTTGTAACGCAAGTTTTTCTTCTTATGTCACGCACAGCCGTTTCAGGTGCACATAACACAATCGTGACAGCTAGAGCTGGCAAGGACCTGATATCTTCCCTGGTGTCTGGTCTCCTTACAATCGTAAGTATTTCAAAGTAAACGATTAAACCTTACCCGTAATCCGAACACCGTAAATGTCGTAGCACTGGCACCTTTTAGGGTACTCTCGACGAGTCTGCCGTTACCTCTTCTTGGCTGTTACATAATCACTGCGATTCTTAAACGCGCCATTGAGATATTTTTTATCATTATTTTTATACCTCTAAACGTTTAGTGGTCAATTTCAATTTCTTATTGGTCAGTAGGACCTGGAAACTCTTTGGGTATTGTTTTCAAGGAGCTTAGTGTAACATATAGAGCACCCCCTCTCCTACCCTAAGCCTTGAAAATGTTGGTATCTGCGCACTTTAATCGTGATTAAAACCAAACAAGGGTGGTGCGATTGTCTTCCTTTGCCAGCTGTTTGGGTTCCACTTCTTAAATGTGAAATGATGATTCTGCAAGTGTATATCGTCTGGCAGAATTTGCCTGTTTAACCTTATCCAGCACGCGAGCTGTACAAGATTTCCGTTAATTACCATAAGGTACTCCAGTAAGGCCTGGTTCACACTATTGACATAACGACATAAACATAACGACCTAAGAAGGACGTTGTGTCGTTATCTTGGTAGTGTGAACAACCTGACATAGTTACATAAAAGCAACATAACGACATGAATATAACGACATAAGGAAAAAAAATACTGATCTTTTCCTTATGCTTTTATGTCGATAAAGCTACTATTTCGTTATTTCGTTAATGTCGTTACTGATGTCACTAGTGTGATCTATGCCTAAGCCGGTTATGGACGTTTGTGTTTTCAGGGCGATAGATTCGGCGGAGCATTAGACGCAGCTGCTCGGCTGTTTTCTCACGGCGTGGACAGTGGACAGGCGCCCATGGAATTCGTGAATGACATGAGAAAGAAAGGACAGCTCATCATGGGCATTGGACATCGGGTGAAGTCTGTAAGTACTCTGCGAGCAGGTTCCCCGATCTTGATCTCGGGTGGAGATATTTTGGGAAATGAAAGGTCCAGGAATATCTGTCTTTTCTTGCGTGTACAATTCGCTATCATGTCGTATCGCTCTCTCTATTTATAACGCCTTGCAATGTTGCTTTTAATGGGCGAAGAACGAATGAAAGTTTCGAAATGGGGATGTTTGTCCCATTGTCTCTTAGCTTCGATTGCACAATCAATCTTCAGATTGGTTTTTCAATCTGGGATGAGTTGCTAGAGATCAGGAAAAGTCACTGGCGGGGTTCAGTTGTTTTTCCAAGTCACGGAATTTTGTTAATTTAAGGTTGTTTACACGTTTTCTATTTTCCTATGATGACCACGTTATTATAGTGGATGAAAATTGTTTTCTGTTCTGGGAGAAGTCAGGAAATAGAATTGTTATTTTTTTCCGTGATGCAGCAATGAGCCTGTTAAGTTATGGAGAAAAGCTTATTGCTGACAAATTTAGCAGACAGCCTAAAATTTCCATCGTCTGTGTCGAGAATAGACCAATTTCGATATATTAAAATTCAGCCTAAAACAATAGACCTCAGTGCGAGGCTCTGGGGAATAACTACAGAGTTTGTGGGGTTTATTCCCCAGAGCCTCGTACTGAGGTCTATTGTGTTAGGCTGAATTTTAATATATCGAAATTGGTCTGTTAGAGCAGTATCGGAAGGTGTCAAAGAAACAGGGAGTTTAGGTAACGATTTCTTTTTAATACAAACCTCTCAGAGACATTTATTTTATTCGATGTTCTTTGTGTTTTTTTTTCGTCTTTCAGCTAAACAATCCTGACATGCGTGTGGTGATTTTGAAAGAATTTGTGAAGAAACATTTTCCCACCACCACTGTCATGGATTACGCCATAGAAGTAGAGAAGATCACCACGTCTAAGGTAAGTTGACACTAGAGAAAGAGTTAAGATTCCTGTTGTCCGAAGAGAGTCCCACAGTTATACTGCTTATTTGAATCCTAGGGATACTGCTTCCCCCAGGGGTTGAACGCCCCTTCCGCCAATCCCACTTCTCCCTAGTCATGTCCAAGATCCTAGGTTTTTCTAGTCTCCATGTTCTCTGCTCAGATTCCCACTAGTGTTATTTTCCCCGATTTTTGACTGGGTTCGCTGAGGCAAAGTTTTTCAGTGTACCCAGATATTTCTCCTTATTCTGTTCCCAAAATTCTGGGTTCCTTCCATTCACAAGATAGGAAGAACTTTTGTCACTACGTTGAGTCGCTCTCAACGAAATAATTAAATTATCCGGTTTGAAAATTGAAAGGAGGGTACTTTGCTTACAGCTAACAGCTTAGGTTACTAACGGTGAAATTTAACCTCTGTTTAACAGAAGCCAAATCTTATCCTCAATGTCGACGGCTGTATTGGCGCCGCCTTTGTGGACTTACTTCGTCACTGTGGAGCTTTCACAAGGTATTTCTTTACTTTTCGTTTTTCTTGTCTTCTGACCTTCGATCTACAATAGCGCTGGGAAATAACTGAACCGGCTGTCCAGTATCAGCAAGCGGTTTTTCAGAGAAAAACATAATGTTAATTTGGAAACAGAGCGAAGAGTTGAACACTTGTTAGATTTATTTTAGGGAAAGAAAAGTGAGGATTTCAATTACATTTTTTATTTGTGGCATGCTGTGTTTGTGTCTCGTATCTGACGCCTTCATTTTCATGTTTCTTGCAGTTTCAACCGCAGACACTGAAACTACTAAGAATTTCACTTCTCTTTGTTGTCACAACGAAACAACAATGGCAATGAAAAGTTGTCGTTGTCATTGTTGTAAGCACATTGAAAAACAGGAAGTTTCTACTTTCATGATCAGTGTCTTTTCCACGTTTGTTGCAGTTTCATTCCCGGAAGTTCTTTTCGTTATTTTTGTAGTAGACTAAACGAAAAGTGGGAGTTTTCTTCATATTTAAAACGAAACTGTTGTTGTACTGCTTCAGAGAGGAAGCTGACGAGTTTGTGGAGATTGGGGCACTGAACGGATTGTTTGTCTTGGGAAGATCGATTGGTTTCATCGGTAAGTCTGTTTGCCTGTTGCCTTACAACGTTTCAGAAAACAAGTGCTTGTTCAGGCCCAGACACACTGTCAGTCGCTGGTGGTACTAGCTATATTGATCACCTGGTCGGTTGTACTGCATCCTGGTAGTCTGGTACCCAGACATTCCCTTCGGAGAAGATTGACAAAAACTGGGTACGAGGACTTGGGTTTGTATCCGACAGGTCCCTTTATTGAAATTCTCTGGATCTCGATATATTTTTCACACATACCTTAATTAAAACTAACAGGAGAATCTTTGTTTACAATATTTGCCTCATTAGCTTAAGTGATACAGTTTCTGATGGAGCTACAAAAAGATTAGCTCTGAATATTGAAAGGGCACAGCACGATTAACTGTCCCAAGGAATTTGAGCCCGATGTATTGAATACTTTTTGTGCGACGGAGGTTTAAAAACTCAAAATTATACAAAGAATGTATGAGCTCATTTGCGCTTTTACCACTCAGAAAGTTTGCAGCTTTGTTTTTGAAAGCCAATTTCTCCTCGAATATTACACCCAAAGAGCCAAAAATGTCACCAATTACAAAGTTTCACAAGCCCTTTAGATGTTTATACTCAATTGATATTTAGCGTAATGCCTTCTATGCGCTAAGTCGTATGTTAATGAGGAAAAATGTAAACAATGACGTCAGCAAAGATTCGCCCATAACAAACGGCTCATGAGAATTTGAATGTTGACACAGGTTGCTAAAACACAGTTTTCAATTTTCTTAGGTCATTACTTAGATCAGAAGCGTTTAAAGATGGGCTTGTACAGACATCCATGGGATGATATCACCTACATTATGCCCGACCATCTAAACGACCTGCGCCCGGCCAGCTTTGAATAAGGCGTGACAGTCACGCAACACAGGCACTGGTGTAAGCGAATCGGAGGGTGTCACCAATTCCATCGGGAACCTCGGAGAGGAATATTTAAAGGAAATTGGAAATGATACTGAGAGGAACTTTTTGAAAGAGGGAACGAATTTGAGTCAAGCTGTGATAGTGTGGGAATGAATCTCAGTTGCTTAAACTCTTTATTGCTGACAGGTTGTTCAATAAGAAGACCGAGGTTTATATTGCAGAAGAAAATATGTATCTGGTGCTGTAATGAAGTTGGCTCTGATTGAATGCTGTAATTTAAAATCCGTTAAAACTCGTTTGAGTAAAAGACACATGCAAAGCGAATTGAAATAAAATGTACTTGCAAGGTATGAGAGAGAGTGTCTGTTAGGAACACTTTTGAATCAAAACCAGCACGTCGCTATCCATGCGAGTAACGAGTGTACTCTCTTCCCGCGCTGTAAAAATGGTAGAAACTTATCATTAACTTTTGGTCGAAAGTTTCTGGCCGCGTGGCCAAAGGTGAGCCCGAAAGATCAAAGTTAGATCGCTGACTAACTTACATCTTTTGGTCAAAGGTGACGACGTGTTTTCGGCAGGTCGTGTTCCCTTTCGTACTTACAGTTGATCTTTATCTCCTTGTTTCTCTTTTGATTTCTGCGCATGCCCGAACAAAAATGTCGAAAACGCGGTGCTGATGGAGAGTAAGACATGCTGTCGTGTTGCAAATGCCTTTTTGAGTAGACTGGAGCTAATTTGGCCCATAACCAGGCTGAAAATGTCCAAAAAATGCATATTTAGCAAAAAGCTCCAGGAGTCAAATGGGTTTAAGATAGCTGAGACGGCAATGAGAACGTCATCAAATACAAGGCTTGATGAGCAGAACAATGGCAACGCACGTGCGTTATAAATCTTTGTACCTTTCTTAGCCTACTGTGCACAACAACAACGTGAGATGACCAACTTGACGTATTTTGGAGAACGTGAACAGAGACGGCGAATTTTTCGTACTTCCTTTTGGAACTGAACGCTGTCATTATATATTAAGTTTGAAAAAGTTCTGAGACGGATGGGCGCGCTGAACAGATCTAGGCAGTTGCTTAAATTCGAGGACAAAATATAAATTCATGTTTCCTCGAGGTCGCCGCGGTCATTGCCTAAGCTCCCTAAATAGGCTGCTTAAACTAAGTAACGTCAGAAACATTGCGGTTTAGCCAAGTGGGAAACTCGTTCGGGAAGTAAATCTCTTAGTTTCCCTAACGCACGCTTTACTTGCAAACATATTTCCTGATCGGCTAAAACCGAGACATTACTTTTATCGACAAATGTTTTCCACTTTAGCACTTGAACGGAGCTCGCACAGCCCTTTAGTGAAGGCGCTCACTTGCTATAAAGCATTGACTAGACAGTGCATTTATATTTCAAGCCTAATCCCAGTTCTAAACTTGAATCATAGTCGATTTTCCCGCGGGTCGTGTTCCCCTTCGCTCTTATAATTGAGCTTTATCTCCTTGTTTAAGATGTTTTTCAAGATCACTTCAAAATAGCACAATGAAGGGAAAAAACAGACGCTCGTGCGTCAAACTGGCTTTTTGATAGCATTCTTTTATAAATAGTCTATTGTCTTTCATGTCATTAGTGTTTTCACTGGCCCGTGCCGTCACGGAAACACGCTGATTATTCAACATGATTTAATATAACCGAGACAACAATGAGTAAGTTGGCAAAGGAAGGAAGAGTGCTGAATTTTAGTGAATTTGTAGAGTTTGTGTTAGTTTTCTCATCCTTGATCTCTCTCTGGGACATACTAGGAATATGGTCTCTATACCTTGGCCCAACGAAACGTGTGATTGATCTAAAAGAAGAAAATGGGTATGGTATAAGAGTATGGTAAGAAACTCCAACCAATAACCGGTTATCATTATCAACAGAATTTATCAAAGCTTTCCTGTTTGGCATGTTCCCATTTTCAGTCAAATATGTTGTGGTGTATGATATTTCCGGTTAGAAAAAGGGACGCAATTGAAGCAAGATTTACAAGGATTTCTTTTTTATTTTTAGAAACACGAATGAATCGGGATGTTATGATCCTGGAAGAAATCCTTCGGGCATCGCGTAGCCCTCCCGGTTTTTCTTATATTACGTTGTACAAGGGGCTTGTTTACAAGCAAGATATAGCAGCACGACTCTATTCAATATATCGGAAAGTAAACATGGTGAACCCACCTTGACGTGGTAGAAAGATCACATGACGTACATCTACTCAGTGATCGGGCGGCACAAAAGCCCGATACTGACTCATCAAAATCCAGACAAATCATGCGTTTGTCACAACGAAATGATTTATCGAACGCACTGAGCCCTCCTTTCGTCGCTCTACGTGCATGGGCAAAAACAAATAGTTTGTCTTGATGAATTATTCATCTTCTGCCCTTCTTTTTACTGGCATGTTTAAACCTCTGGACACACAATTCGTCTAATGCCTGTCTTTATACACGCAGACGGGTTATCCTTCTCAGAGGTGGAAATACATTTCTCTACGTGTGTTTGCATTATACCGTTTTCGCCATGTAACATGCTTTCCTTCGACTCACTGAAACGTGCGTTAATGGTTTTTTTTCGGCAGTCATTCGTGTTGTCATTCGAAGTTCATCTCTTAGTTCGTCGTCCGAGACGCACTTAAGCAGACTTGGTTCGACTTGACGAATTCCGTTTTGTGTCTATAACCAGAGGCACTAAAAATACTTGCCCAAGCTTGTTCCTGATGGACTATGCGTCTTAAATAGTGTGAAAACGGCCGCGAACGGTTTCGAAGAAGGAACTAAACAAACTGAAAATGACTACCTTACTAGTGTTTCTAACTGAAGTTTCATTTGCATGAAACAAAATAAAATAACGAATGCAATGATAACCAAATTGCCAAAGATTACACGCGGGTGCTGATATGATATCAGCTCAGCTTCTCTTTCTGTGGAAAACCATGAAAATCACTCCGGTTCTGAAGTTCTGAGTGCTGAAGGAAGGTGTAAATATATATCCGGCTATTCCAAATAGGTTACCAATCTTTAATTTTCAGAATTTCCTACAAATAATGACGGAAAGAAAAGCGCTACTAATACCCTAAAAAAACACCCAACGACAAGAACCTAACCGTAACACTCCCCCTCACGTCATGAAAGGGTGTACCCCCTTCCACCCCTCCCCTAAAAACACCGGGCAATATTTCCATGGTTCCATGGCTGCAGGATGGTCGAAAGCGGCATTCTTTGATGCTTTTGTGTAAATGATCGCCTCATGACCGGCTGACTTAACGCAATACAAGACAAAAGAAATTTAACGATGAAACGTGCTTACTGAGTTTTCTGTTTTTAACCTTCAGTTGCAAGGCCCACGGTCGTCTTCGTGCATGGCCTGCGCCAGAGTCGCGTGTGATTTATTTTGTAAAATTTTTCCCATAAATTTTGACCCGTAAACATCCGTCAAATGTACAGCCTTACATTGAAATTTCTGAGTTTTGTTATACTGATTAAAATGGCAAGGAGAAATCAGAAATTTTTCATTTCATTGCGGGGAGATGAAGCTGTAAAACGATATGTTTCGCTCTTCAGGTTCCGTGAAAGACCGAGCTATCGCCGCACGGTATGAGGAAGTTGCGGTCGCAAGTGCTGTCAGTTAAAAATGAAACAACCCAGGGGCACGTAAAAATGTGGGACTGATTCCTAAAGGACACGCGCGAAGAAGCACAAACCAGACAAATAATTACTTTGTTTTCATCTTTCTATCAAAAATATTTTCAAATTAATCCTCAGGGAGTAGATCTCATACTTTGGTATGTTTATGTTTTCTTTTTTTAATTTCTTCGGTCCTGCGAATCCACTTCCGGTTTAATTGAAAAATGACTTCCTTTGTTATGTTTATTACCAAGCTCGTAGAAAGTGTGCGAAAGAGAAATAATAAAGAAAGAGAGTGAAAGCCTAAGTCACATAGCTTAAGCGGGCGCTAATGCACAGAGGAAACAACAACAAAGAAGGTAAAGAAAATCGTGTTAAACGGAAATGCGTCGGTTCTCCGTGTTCGTTGCTTGTTCTTGTATTTCCGGTTAAAGAATGCAATGCGCGCGCATTCAAATGAACGTGATCAGTTTTTGACAACATTTCTGAACAGTTGAAGTGCCGTTGTGTCTGTGTTTTGGCAGGAATGATTCGCCTGATCCGCGAAAAGTTTACCGAAGTACTAGGCTTGAAATGCCTTCAAACGACGTGATACTTTTGGGGTACCGTCCGCGCAGTGAAATACAAGCAACGCTAAATTTACGCCGCGCGGTGAGCGACGATCGTCTTCTGGAAGCTGTGCGAGAGGCCCGCCGACAAGGACCAGCGTTTTCAATGCTCAAACTAAGCAAGACGAGAATTTCTGTGGGAGATAGTGTCACTGTTTACTGGGATGTCAGGGAACAGTGTGGAGCGAATGACTGGATCGGGCTTTTTGATCTAGGTAAGTAAACTTGCTTTTTTTTTTTTTTTTTTTTTTGTACCACCTGTTTAAGTTTTCGGGTTTCGGGTGTAATATGTGTAATATGTGTCGTGTGTGTACTGAGATGAAAGTTGAAAGACTTCCTTCACCTTTCAGGACCATGTATCCAAAGAGCATCTCGTCAAAANTTTTTTTTTTTTTTTTTTTATAAAATCCTTGCCTTCCCATGCATGCATACACCCGGCTTCGCAATTTACTGCAGAATCGATCGATAGAAGCCAAGTTTTTATGGCGGAAGCTCAATGTTCCCTTAAGCTATAGCTCAACTTTTTCCAGACATATATTCACTGAATATGCGTTTTCATTATAAACAGATCTTGATCCCATGTGGAGTGTTACAAATCCAAATTTATCATTTCATCTCTGGGGTTAATATTTTCGGCACACAATGAGACTTGTAGGGGACCGAATCGGAACGAATGATATTGTGGCTAGCTTCAAGATGTGATTGAGAGTAATCGCTCAGTGATGACCCAGTGATTGTTTTTGCTGCCTTGTCGTTGAAATGATATATTGTGATTATGTGGTTTCAGTTCGACAGCTCGACTGTAAGATTTCGCTCTGGATGTCATGACAGATTCAGAATTACAAGATGTAGAGTCCATATTGTGATATTCACACTGTTCGCTTAGTTTAAACTTTATATCTTGTTTACATTTTCGATTTGGCAGTTAGTTGTAATCGCACAACCCAGGTAAAAGGGCTTGTTTGGGCAAAATGTGCTAAAATGTAATGCGTGCCGATAAAGTGGTGTCTTTGCCCACGTCGTGATAGCCAGGGCTTCGGGCAGGTGTGTGTGAAACATCGCTAGGACCATTTTACATAATTGGAAGCTGTATGGTTCCGATTAAATGCTAATCAAGTTTTGCTGGTAATCTCATTTCGTATTTATTCATCCGTTTGAAGCTATTTTGTAACGAATCGATGTTAGTTTTTCATTTTTATGATCCTATGTTAATTCGATGAGGCACTCTTTCGAAGTACAGTTATGCGACATCCGAAGACGATCGATGGCACCTCATTATTTTTATCTTTCAGCAGTGTGAATATTGTTGGTTAAGTTCCACTTGACTCGGTTCCTGTCAATATTGATTCCTGAAAAAATAGGGGAAGAAAGAAAGAAAACGAAGGAAAAACCTTATCTTCAGGCCAAGTGAATGAAAACTAGTTGTAGTCAACTCGATCGGAGATAGGTGTTCATGGCATCCTGTATTTTCCTTTTCGCTTATGGATAAAGAAATCTATGTCTGGCAGATTGTTGATTCTGACTATTTATTTACAGTATGATTGACATGCCTTTAATTGGAAGTCATTTTAAAACTGTAGCCATATTTTTAATAAGGAATATCTGGCAACTATCTGTTATAATTATAATAATAAAATCGGTCTGGCAGAGAAATTAATTTTAAAATGTGTACATGTTTATTGTTTAACTTTTTGTGTAAATAGGTTTTTATTAATTTCATTGTGGTAAGTAGTTTTACTATTAAACTTATAAAAAACCTTTGTTGGCTATAAATTTTTCTCTTTCTGTTAAAGACTGCTGTTAGTTTTCTAAACAGAGTTCTTTGATTCAAGATATTTGACAGCCACTTGGCCATGCTTATACCTCAAAACGTTTCTGATTTATAACCACTGTACCTGATTTATAAACTGCAAGAATACAATAACATCCACAGAGGCACTACTATCTGTCAGGTACTAAGATCTTTGCATTGGCGAAACAAGTGCATTGTCACTGTGACAAATGTTTAATTTACTGCTGGCTTCTTAAACGTGGATTTCATTGTCATAGAATTGTGAGCTGATATCTTTCATTAACTCATCTATGTAAACACAGCTATAATGATGTGTGTTCAGTTACACAAGAATCAGATGTTCTCTGCTGTATGTAGGCCAGCAGTTAGTGTTAAATATGCCAGACCATTATTGCACAGTTGGGCATCTGTGTAATGAATTTATACAAATTAAAATTCTTATACAAATTAAAAGTCTTGTTTTCGTTTAATTGCTTTAAAGCATCTAATATAACAGGAAGATCTTCTTAAAAGTCTGTAAGTAAGTCACCCTGTTTCTTGAATAATGAACTGCGTCAGATTTAGATTTGTTAAATATTTACCCTGATGTTATATTGATGTCATAACATTTTACAAACTTTGTGAATTTCAAAGAACAGCACCACATGTCATTAAATTTTAAACATCAAAGGATGCAGTATATACAATTTTACAAATAATGATATAGGGAATAAACAAGTCAGTTTTTCAAAGGCCACAAAGGGTTTTTGTAAAAGTGAAATCAAATGTGGTTTGAAATTTGCTCATGTTTTAAAATTTTCAAACTCCCGTTTCATTTATATTTTCCTTTGTTTCGAAATATGTTAATGAAGATACAACAAAGAAAAGCGTGTTGTAAATTAGTTTGAAAATATTCAAACCAAAACCAAATTTAAACCACAACAATTACTCTTTGTATTATTAGAGCTGTGATATTTTCATAGCAAATATGTCTTGAATAGTCTCATCCCTGGTAAGAATTAAATCTCTACAGTGTAATGCATTAAGTTTTGATTTCTGACTGAAATAAATTTGTGGATATGTTTAAAAATTATGTTTTGTTCGTGTATTCATCCACATGTAGCATGTAGATTTTTGTATATACATGTAAACAAGAGTAATGTATTATTTTGTGAGTAGTTTTAGTATGAGGAGCAAGTCAATTGTGTCTATATAATATAGAGGCACATATACATGTACTGTAGAAAAAATCTTTGGTGTAAGTATACAAATGAATTGGAGGCAAGTTGTTGAAACACCAAAGGCTTCAGATTTTACATGGGTTGCTGCTTTCAATTAATTGGTGATGATTCACATTTTTTCAAACTTTCATGTTCTTTGTTTTATAGAAGCACAAAATTTCAGAAAGCTTTCACCATCACATCAAGATCTCCTAACACGTTATATACGTAAACATGTCTTGTCAGAATTTTTGGCCACAAACATGAACAACAGTGTAAATTTGCTATAACTGAAAGTAAACAGTTCAACCCTCCAAGTTGCGACCATTTTAGTCACCATGGCGACTAGAATTTTGGAGCTGGCGATCAAATTAGAACCCAAGTCGCCAGCTCGGCGACTAAAATTAACGTGACCTATGCGTCAGGAGCTTGAGCGGACTATCATCCGGAGCGAAAAGAAAAACGGTCTGAGCATTAAGAATTCACTTTGCAAAGCTAGTTGTTGTCGGATTTTAACCAACAGAAATGGAGACTGAATAAAATGAAGTGTTACACGGTAAACAAAGATCAAGGAATTGCATTCAGTTGAGCTTGGGACGCGACGAAATTCGTTCCACT